ACTAGTAGTACTAGTAGCACTAGTAGCACTAGTAGCACTAGTAGCACTAGTAGCACTAGTAGCACTAGTAGCACTAGTAGCACTAGTAGTAGTAGTAGTAGTAGTAGTATTAGAAGCAGCTATTTGTTCCCTTTGTACAGTCTGGCCATGGCCACAAGTTCAAGCTGACACAGGCATGTTTGAAACAGCAGCTCAGGCAGTCGTCGGTACCCATGATGACTCTTTTGCTGATTGGGGTTGGGCTATGCGAGCCCGACAAGCCAGAAGGTCTGAAGCCCCAGCTGCTTAAACTCCAAGCCACAAACACTAAACCCTAACCTTAAGCCGTACACCTGTGGTTGCTTACTTTGTTTCTTCAGTACAGTCCTGACTGTGAGACTGGCCAGCTAAAGACACAGAGTTGGGATTTCCGAAAAACAACCATCCCCCCGCACAGACCCGGAAACCAAGAGAGGATCTCAGAAATGCCCGAAATCTGAAGCCAGAGCCCTCAACCTGAACACTCAAACTTGAACCCAAAACCCTAAACCCCAAGCTCTCAGCCCTAAGGCCCTAAATTTGCTTTCGATGCTTAGAACTGGCGCGAGGTCCCCGAAGCCACGCAGCTCGCAAAGGAGGATGCCCAGAAAGCCATGTGACCTGGCTTTTAGCTTTTAGCTGGTATAGAATATTGGTGTATTGTATGGTATTCCATAGTATTTTATGGCATAACATTATGGTCTAGTTGTGTATACATTTTTTGACATACTGGGTTCACATCGGGCTTAGCGTTTTCAGGGATCAGGAATCCGGGGGCGGTTTAGAGGACAGCGTTGAATCGTAATTCGCTGGATGGTTTCGTTTTGTCGGAGTTTGGCGTATGGGTTTTGAGGGTTTAGAGTTTTGGGTTTAGGGATTATGGTTTAGGTTTATAGGGATTAGAGTTTAGGGTTTCGGTGATCCGGGCTGTCTCAGAGCTTAGCTGAAACCGAAGGCATTCGAGGTCTGCCAGATCCTATCGGGTCCTTACGGATTTGAGTAGGGTTTGGGCTGTGTGATAGTAGAGTAAGTATATAGGAACTATAACTATAATATGAGGTAGTAGAATAAGTATATAGGAACTATAATATAAGGTGACATCGTTTCCGACGGCTAAGTCAGACTACTTCAAAGTTGGTGGTCGCGCTCTTGCGTTGCGAAAGTCCGAATGAAGGACAGATAAGGCTCCGAGTTTCACAATCAAACTACCAGATATTAAAGAAAACAGTTCAAGGTGACACAAACCGGTCCCCATAGCCTTGGCCCCGCGATCTGACTGTTCGGCAGTCTCAGCTGCAACACCCCCGAGAGAACCGGTCATGAAGCGAAGAACTCCAAGCCCTAAAACCCACTGCGAGCCCTAAGCACCAAGGGCCATTTTGGACAAGCACCTGTTGAACAACACTTTCATGGTGGGAGCCCTGTCTGCACAAAGGTTCAACAACGGAAGCCTTTCAGGCAAGGGCCTATCTCCCTTTTTGCGGTTGTGGGGTTTGCCTTACCACCAGCGCCCTGGGTGGTGCTTTGGACAAGCTTGCTGGAGAGCAGACGTGACGCGATCGACCTGTGTTGCAAAGCGGATCGCAAGCAAGATAGTGCAGGGGTTCCGAGAAGTAGCATGACAAGTGTTAAACTGCGATGAACCCAGATCTGGGTTGTGATCAAGCCTGAGGTTCCCCTCCCAGGTACCTATTTACGTGGTTCTGTAGGAAGTTATCGGGGTGATATGACCTCTCCTGTGCCTGAACCCTAAACCCTAGACTTCCCGAAACCCCAAGCCCTAAGCCCTAAACTCCAAACAGCAACTGCAATTTCTAAGGACATTCCATCACATTGGCTGACATTTCAGTCTGCTGCGCCCTTGTAGACGGCATGCAGAAAGTCTTCGATGAGAACTTTCGGAAGCAGCTGCTCGGCTTCGCTAGTATTCTAAGTATAATATCTTCTCAAAGCACCATTCTAATTATTATTAAGACCGCTACATTGAAATCCAGGTCGTCCGAGGCCGCCTCTTGATTTATTTACTCAGTAGCATTTCGGCGGCATTCCTGGGGCCAACACCTACCGCCACCCCTTCTTCTATTCTACTGCTGCTTCTAGTGTTTGTTCTTAACTACCACGAGTACTACCCTTACGGCCACCACCACAACTACCACTCTTGCTCTATTGCCAGGCTGTCAGTGTCACAGTGTTAGCTTGTTATAGTAGCATTCTCCGTATGACAATCATGGTTGGTAACCATAATGCGTAATGTAATATCAGTATTCTTACTGCCAGACATACTACTGTTCCCTAGGGCTCCAGTTACCTAACCCAGTAGCCCACCATGAAGGTTGGAGCCCGAAGCCCCAATCCCTTTGCAGCTGACCAAAAACTAAATCCACATACGGCAACGTTGTCATTTGCAACCCAACCGAAAACCTCGACCTGACAAACTTACAGAGTCTGTGTTTCCCAACGCCCTACAACCCCCCCCCCCCCCACCCCTTTCAGAATTAATGCTTGAGGAACCTAAACCCGAAAGTTTAGGGTTACAGCATAATCATCGATAACCCCAAGGTTCAAGCATGTCAGCGACAGGTACACCAACTTGATGCGGTGGTTCAACACGTGCGTTGGCACGCCGGAGTTCAAGGCGATCTTGGGCGATGTCAAGCTCTGCAGCAAGGCGCCCCAAGCGCTTTGGTGTAGGAGTTTAGGGCTTGTTACAACACCCAAACATAAATTAATAAGCCTACATCTTAAACCCCAAGCCGCCCAAAATGAGCCGAGAATTTACATCCCAACCTCCAAGCCCTGAGCCATTCGCGTTTAAGCCCGAAACCAAAACCCCCCGAGCCCCTAAACCTTAGAGCCTTTTCAGCCCCTCAAAGCCACGGCAGCTGGAGGCTGGAGGCGCAGCGAAGGGGGGCAAGGCCGGCTTCTGGCACTTCTCGGGTTTAGGGGCTCTCTGAAAGCAGGTGTAGGATTCTGGTTTGAGTTTGGGCCGTGGTACGTCGCTGGCTCGTCAGTGTCCCAACAGCTGAAGCTGAAGAGTTTAGGGCCAAAGTGTCGATGCAAGACCCATACTCCAAAGCCGGAGCCGAAAACTGTAGACCAACCTTGCAAGAGCTGAACCTGTTTGGGTCAGTCGACGGAGGCCATCCCCCGATCTGAATCCGTGAAGCTTCCCCTCGTCCTAACCCCATCTTTCTAAACCCTCAACGCTGAATGCGACAAAGCAGACCACAAGAGAAGGCGGAGAAAGCAGCGCCCAAAGAGAAGCCCGCACCCAAGGCCGCCAAATCGGCTGCAAAATAGGGGTGGGAGGCAGCAGGACATTTGTACATGTTCCTACACTGTCCTACATCCTAACATGCATTCCAACGAATCCGTGAGAGTCGCAGAGCTTTCACATGCTCTTATGGAATTTGGGGCTGGTACCTGCTTGTTTGGCTTTTAAGTTGACGGTAGGATGCTTACGGTAGATTGTGCTGCTGCTTGCACATAAAACAGATTCTGGGAGTCTTCAGCAACTTGCGGGATGTTGGCACACTGGCCTTGATGATTCAGATGAGGTGTTGGGGTGAAGCATAGTGCTTCCATATCTGCGGCACCGGATGAGCCAGTCTCGGGAGGGATTGGCCTTTCGGTCTCTCTGCATCAAACAACAGAAACGAAATACCACCCTCAACCCCATAAAGCCTAGAAGCCGGGTAACCTTAAACGCGCGCTTCTCGGGTTGGCAGGAGAAGGCACAGAAGGCAGAGAAGGCAGAGAAGCCTGCTGCCAAGGACTGGGAGCGGCGAGTTGGGGCTCCTTCACTCGCACGCTGCGGCGTCAGCAGCCAAACAGTCCGAAACCTTTTCAAGCCGAAATGCGTGTACCAGAACAACGGAGCAAAACCACACAGAATAGCAGAATTCTGGCCCTATCAGATGCGCACCTCAATGGCTGCAGGTTAGGTGTCGATGATTCGAAAGGCTGTCGAAGCAGGGCAGCTCCCGGCGCTCCAATCTCGCAACCCTAAAGCGCAATTCGGGGTCATACAACAGATCAGCAAAATTATTGTTCCGATTACTGGTAGGTACTATTCTTATTACTATACTAGTATTACTGCTATATTTAGTTTAATGTTATTATTTTTGTTGCTATTTTCTGGCAGCAGCCTTTGACTTATACTTCAAGCTCCGGCCCCAAGATAAGAACAACTCAGAAATTATTGGAGCTGGGCAGCTTGTTGCCAAGATGGCCGTCGCTGTCGTTGGTGTGGCCGTCGAAGTCGTTGTTGCAGTCGCTGTTGGTCTTCTGAATGTACTAACTGCCAAGTGTTGTTATCATTGCTAAGATTATTCTTCTCATTTTCAATGTTATTCACATTTTTCCTGAGTACTATGATTATCTTGTATGCTTGTGTTTCATCGTGCTATGCATTATTATTGCTCTTGTTGTTGTTGGTGGTGTCTGGCTGCAGGAGAAAGCCGCTCCGAAGGCCCTGCTGCGCAGAGCGGGTTGCAAGCTCGGGGCCGCGGTCAATAGGGTTTAGGGGTTTAGGGTTTAGGGGCTTCGGGTTTAGGGTTTAGGGGTCTAAGGTTTAGGGTTTAGGCTCGGGGGCAATATTAATATGATATAACAGAATGTGTCTGTGCATGTGTGGTATGATCGAGGGCCTCGCGGTTTCGGGCTTGTGAGGTTTGCAGTTTGTGCACCTTGCAGTCTGCGGGTGACATAATGTGTGTGTGTGTGTGTATATATATATATACCGTGTATATAATATATACATACATACGTACATACACACATACATTCATATATCTATATATATATATATATGTACTGATCATACGTATGATCGAGGGCCTACGGTTTCGGGTTCGGTTTGGGGGGGTTTGCAGTTCAGGCTTTGGGTGTTCGGATTTGGGCATCAGGTCTTGCAGATTAAGGCTTTAGGGTTGAAGGCTCGACAGTGTTGAAGACGTCGGAGGGTTCAGGAACGTAGCATTTACTTCGGGAGTTCAAGAGGGCATCAGCAAGTTGTTGGGTGTGGTGCGCAGTTCAGCAGGTCTTACTCACATAATGTGCTTCGTGGATTGGGCATTCGAGATTTCTGGTCAGTGAAGGCAGGTCACGGTTAGGTCTTCTCTTCCAATTTCAAGATGTTAATATCCTAACATCACTCGAAAACCCTACGGCCCGAAACAATAGACTCTACAACCCCTAAACCCTAAACCATGAAGCTCTGCACCGAAATCATGAACTATGTGATACAGGCTTCGTTTACCGCTAAAGTCGTTGTTGTTAGACGTGCCTTTGAACTCAGAGACACTTAAGTAATTGAAGGGCCCTCGTCGATGATCTATGTCAACCTGGAAAGTGCTCACTTACAGCAGTGCAGGGTCAACCAGATTTGACGGTGCCTGGACTAATTGGTTTGTCGCATGTTTTTGTTTCTGTAGAGCCACATGCTCTAAACCGGCACATCCAGACTTGGACTTATGCCACCTCCATCCTTCCATAAAGCTCTACAGCTCTTTATTCTGAGCCCAAGCTTAATCTCTATCCCGCTGCACGTTGAATCACTTTCACTCACGGTCAGGAGAAGGCCGCGCCGAAGGCACGGATTTGGCAGATCTTTCCATATGCCTAGAATACGAAAGGCCAGACACACAGCTGGGTTCATTGCGGAGGGGTTGGAGTTCCAGGTTTCTGGCCATCATAACATTCGAGCCGTAGTGTTCTTTTTTTTTTGTGGGCCTATTCCTCTGGGCAGTTCTCGACATTGGCTGAAGTTTTGTGAACCAGGGCATCTCCCGAGTGTTGTACTCTTGTGTGTGTACATATATAATGATCTAAATAATGACACAAGACTATCTCGGGCCCATTTTCTTCGCAACACCCGCTGCTGCAGGAGAAGGCGGCCCCCAAGGCCAAGCCTTGCGTGAACTCTACTGGCAGTTCAACACTGTTCTCGATACAAATAAATAAGTAAATAAATAAATAAATATATATATATATATATATTTATATATATATATATATATATATTCGTGGTCGCTATCATAGTCGTTATCGTAAGACCAAGACGAATGAATCTTCGTCTTGAGCATCATCACCACTATCATCGTCATCGTCATGCCCATGATTACAATCATCACCATCATCATCGACTTTGTTACCTTCCGGGTAACTGGGGCAGCTATAATCAACACCCCCGCGATCGTCGCCACAGCCATCGCCGCCACCACCACCACCACACCAACCCCACCACCACCACCACCACCACCATCACCACCACCACCACCACCACCCGCCACCACCACCACCACCACCACCACAACACCACCACCACCACCACAACACCACCACCACCACCACCGCCGCCGCCGCCGCCGCCGCCACCACCACCACCCCCACCACCACCACCACCACCACCACCACCACCACCACCACCACCACTGCCCTCTTCATATGTCTGTGCCGATCTTGTTGGTTTTCTTCCAGAAATCACATTTTCTACCGTGATCAGGATTCTGTCCATTGCCGTTTCTACATCTGCTAGCATCACCGTGCAACTCTGAATACTTTCGTGTGTCTGCTGTTTTCTAGCATTTAATCTGAGTGGTTTGGGGATAGGTCTTGGGGTTTCGATTGGTGTGTGCCTGTTTTTTGCCGGTACCACCAATGTAGTCCGTGCCAGATCCCTATGAAAGGGTCACGAATGGCAACTGTCCACGGTTTCCGGTTTCACATGAGAAGCAGTCTGGCATCTATTTTCCAGGATGTTCTAGGCTAGGTACAACTGCAATGTCATCTTTACTTTACCCTACACTCTTGAACCCGAACCACTCGGAATCCTGACTCCAACCGCAACAGCCAGAAATAGACGAATTCAGATAGGTATACCTCTAAACCCTCTGAGCCAAAACTCCCAACCAGGAAAAGGCGGGAAAGAAGGAGAAGGCGAAGGCTCTCCTGGCATGCCAGACGTTTTTGCATTCGCCCCTGTCAATCTCATCTTTATAGAAGCTTCAAACAAGGACCAATACCATCCCTAGGTATACTATCCACAACCCTGTTCGAAATATCAAAGGCCCTCTAATGTGACAGCCGGATGTCTGTGAGAGTCATGGTTCAGATTCGGAAAACGGAAGTACATCAAGTGGACTGTCCTGATCAACCCGAGTGTTGAACATGTCTGCGGATGCCGTGCTTAAGATAACCAGCAGTATCAGGCCTATGAGTAACACTTTCCTCGTGTGGAGTTTGATGTGTCTCGCGAGATCACCAAGAAACCTGCCAGGAAGAAAAGGCTGAGAAGACAGAAGAGAAGGAGAAGGAGCTCACGCCCGAAGAGAAAGAGAAGCTTCGCAAGGACAAGCTCAAGAAGGCCCGGTGCAGTCTCCTGGTATCTTTTTGGTCGAATGCTCAGAGTCGAGTAGTCAAGTTTGGTTTATGCATCCCACATGTGTTCGGTGGGGCTTCGGCACGGCACCGGCGCACCTCAAATTCATGGATTTCGGGAAGGAATAGTGCGAATCCAGGATAACACGACGAAGCCCTGAAGCCCATTGCACTCGCCTTGAGCTCCTAAACCAGTGAAAAGCGATAGAAAGACATGGACTAAGACTGTGGCTTCGAATCCCACCCGGCCCAGGTCATCAAGGAAGGTGGAAAGCGAGGACAGTTGGGGTCCAACTCTTGCCTGCGATCTCAGCGAGTGCGTACCACATACAACTCCACCACACCACCAGCAACAGCACGTTAAACAATGTCAACAATAACAAGACTCGGGAAGGTAGTAAGGCACGGTGACAGGAACTAGCAGTATGGATGCGAAGTTGCATCCACTCCCTAGCCCTAAACCGTGAACCGTCCCAAACTAATAAAACAATAGCCGAGGTCAAGACAAGCAGAGACGCATCAGACAAAACCATGAATGTATATCCAGCCAGGTAACCCGCAACAATGAAGACCAACACCCCGAATATCGTCTAGCTCCCACCAATCGGTCGAGCAAGCGCGTTGAGGATCAATGGTTCTAACTCTGGGGTGAACGCAACATGGCTCTGCATGTAATGCAGTGTTAATCGGTATACGGATACAACAAGGTTCGTTTGAATGCTTCGTGTGTCCATCCCTACAGCCCTAACTTGAAATCCTGCTTCAATCCCTGAACCCACCGAAGCGCTCAGCCCCACAAGCCACAGGCCTATACTTCATAATGAAATCCGAATCCCGGTTGCAATTGCGCCAGGAGTTGAAATTGAGGGCGCAGCGGACATGGGTGCACTCCTCGGTAACAGGTTCGAAAGGACATAAGGCTTAGGACACAGGGCTTCTAGATTTAGGATTCAGGGCTTCAGGTTTCGGCGTTTAGGGGGGTTGTAGCAGTCAGTGTGTTCTTTACTGTCTAATGTGTGTGCTCAGTCTGGACCATTCGACCCTGGCTGTTTGACTTTGTTCAGTGGCAGTGGTCTGCTTGAGCTGTTTGCCATGGTCGAGGCCGAGTCGGAGAGGTCCGGCTGTCAAGCAGCCCTTAACCCTTCACCGTATGTATTTCAGCAGGCTTCAGCCGATTCAATCCCAAAACCCCCCAATCCCAAGGCCTTAAATCCCCTGGCCCTCAGCTCTCACAACAGATCTTTCCAACTGTGGCAGATCGGCGCCCCCACGAAGGGTTCAGGGAGAGGGTGTAAGGCTTGTGGTGATTACACTAGAGATGCAGAGGGCCCGGAGAAGCAATACTCCTGAACATATAGAGTCTGAAGCATACATAAATTCATTCACTCATTGGTGCATGCATGACTTATGGCCAGTTGTATCTATCTACCTATCTGTCTGTCTGTCTATCTATCTGTCGGTCGACCTATCGATCTATCGATCTATCTATCTATCTATCTATCTATCTATCTGTCTATCTGCCTATCTATCTACCTCTATCTATCTCTATCTGCCTATCTCTCTCTATCTATCTCTATCTATCTCTATTTCTTACTATCTATCTATCTATCTATCTATCTATCGATCTAATGTGTCTAACCCATCTAATCTAGTCTTATCTATCCTATCGATCGCTCGATTGATCGATCGATCTATCTATCTATCTATCTATCTATCTATCTGCATGTGTGTATATGTATATATATATATAGTCTGCTTATCCATATGTACATAGGTAGGCAAATGGAAGCTGATCTTTCTGTGCGCTTCGAGGTGGGCTGCAGTTCTTCTGCACTGCCGTGGAGCTGCCTGATGGAGACCTCGCCGTGACCTCAGGGAGCTGGGTCTATCAGAATTGAACACGAGGGTTTTCTGGTCATGGTGATGTTTCATGCCTTCGGAAGTCTTCGATAGCTCCTCTCAAATCTTACAGAACTTCGCAGTTTGCGTCGAAGTATAGAGCCTATACGCTCCGGAACCCCTCTCGCCCCTCTCAAAACCTAAGCTTCGCAGCCCCTGAATCTGAGGACCTCCTGATGACTTCCATGGAAGCCATGAACGCCAAGAGCGATCCTGGCGAGGAGGAGACCAGGGGTCCCAGGGTAGAGGGCTTTAGGGCCTTAGGGCTCAGGGAGGGGTTCAGGGATTAGGGGTTTAGAGGTTTAGGGGTTTAGGGGTATTGGGTTGACGGGCTGCAGGGGATAATGCTTAAGTCTTCGGGGGTTTGGGATTAGGGCTGGGGTTCAGGCTAACCGGTTTTGGGTTCAGGGTTCAGGAGTCTAAGGTTTTGTGGTTTGGGATTTGGGTGCAGACTCTGGGCGGCCCTAGTAGAGTTGAGGTTTAAGGTTTAGGGCTCAAGAGTCTTGATCAGTTTTCGGGGTTTCGGGGGGAGTTTGGGTATGCTCTGGAAGGCGGTTTCTAGGCCAAGCTGTGAGTCGACCCTAAACCCCAAACCCCTGCGACAAAGCAACTTGAGTCCTCCTGGGTTTTCCCGGCCTCTCTACTCAGAGTAGACCGAACCAGAGGTCTTCAACCATCTTGGCATGCCGATGTGCCGATGGTTTCGCAACCCTAAACCCTGAACCCTGAAGCAGTAGCCCTAAACGCAGAACCCGAAGCCCGACGCCTAAGCCCAATCAGCCTACAACCGAGAACGTTAAACTCAGCGCAGCAGTGAACTGCCCTAAGTTATCACCAAACTTTAGCCTTGTTATAATTGTTATATTATAATTCAAGTCCTATTCTGCTTGTTCAGACCGCAAGATTGTGCCAGAACATCCCTTATAATTAAGCCCGAAACTGCGGAAGCAGGAGCGAAAGGGCGGATCAGGTCACATTGGTGCGGCCAGCGTGGGTTGAGGGCAAAATGGTGTTCTTTGAGCTTGAGAACTTGCAGTTTCGGCTTCAAGTACGACCTCAACTTTAAAGTATCTGGTTTGGGCAACGTCTTGGAACTCGTATGATGAATGCAGCTACTCTTGACCATGGGGCGGACTTGAAGCCCAGGGTCCGTAATTACTTCAGGTGTCACTCTACAAGTTTGAGTGGCAGTGGCACGCTTTAATTGGTTGTCTGTACAGTTTAATTTGAGGGGCCCATGATGCGCACGTCGCAGACCCCGCATTGAATCCTAAGCCCCATCCTACGAAAGTCATCGATTCTCCGTCCCTAACGAGGAATGCAAAGACCCACATAGACTAATTACCGGTACTTGCCTCGTAGGGCTGCGTAATAGAATGATGCTAGGCTATACTGTCATGTACCAAAACAATCGTAGTGAAACGATTAAGGCCCTTTTATCAGCTGTAGAAATATTCGGACTCCATCGGCTGGCCCCTCCATGCGCAGCAGTCTCTACGACTCTGCCATTCGTATGCGCCTATGTAAGTAGTTGCCATGCGGTTCTGGTATAAAAGTTGACTGCTTCGAGGGGTCTTTGTATGATATACATAGATATACATATATATATATATACACACACACATGAACGGAACCTACGCCCGAAATGAGCGAAATGAGCGATATACACACATACATATGTATATGTGTTTATTTCCCCGCTGTTAAATTTAGGCGTAGTTCTCAAACTATATGTTGTCACGCGGTTGAAGGCTCGTTAGCCCGGGTTCTCGAAGCTCACGAAACCCCCCATAAAAGTAGAACTCCCATTTTTGGTTCTGGTATGTTATACTATGCCTATAGTCTCCATTGTAGTTCCTGTTTTTGGTTGAACCCAACATCTGTTTAGGATCCTATAAATATAAGGTAACCCCAAAAGGAACTACAATGGATACTATATATATATATATATATAGGTACTAAGGTGTACTTTAATAGCAAACCGCAGAAACAATCTGCCTCAGAACCTAGGAGCATCATAGGGTCGCAGCCAGGTAAGATGATCTTCTCCGTGGGAGTGGAACAATTGGCTGTTTGTGCCTATGTCCCGGAAGCGAAGAAGGACCCGGACGTAGGAAACCAAAAGCAGTCTTTCAGGGTTCCATTTTGGATTATGCAGGCTTCACACATTCATGCATATTCTTTCGCTCAGGGATTTCCGGATATCAGGCTCGTTGAGTCCTAGGGTGTTGGGTTCGTGGACCTTTGCCATTGTGCCGTGTGTCTTTGGCTTAACTGGTTTACGCAGGCTCGGAGTTTATGGTGTTTCATAGTTGTTGGCGCCTGAGGTTGATGGAAGCGATTTTCGGTCCTAGAACCTAAACCTTAAACTCCAAGCCCTACACCCTAGGATTTCTTCTTCTCTTAGCGGCTCCACAGTGGCCAGACACGACCGACTTTGACTGCTTGGCCCTCATTTCCCTAACTTCTTGAGACCGGCGACTGGACGGGCCGAGTCCCTGCATGTTAGTGCTTGAGGTTGTTCAGGTTTTGGGTTTTATAGGGGAGACATTTAGGTCACAGTCCCAGAAATCCCCCAGACTCGCAACCTGGGTTTCAGGCGGAGCTGAACTGCAAGGAGTGGCTGGAGACCGTCCTGAAAACCCAAGGGGGGGAGGCGCTTTGCCAGGACAGGAGGGTTTCAGCTTCGTTTAGGGTCCAGAGCTTGGGGTGACTGCTCAAGGGCTACGACCTACGAAGCATGGTTGTAGGTTTCATCTCAACCGCTTGCCCGAGACCAGGGTTGTTGATGTTGCTGAGTCCGGCATGATGAGCTCGATACCTTTGCTGGGCAGGTTGTTGGAGTCAGTCATATGGAAGCCAGAATCAGTAAAACTATTCCTTTTAGGGTTCCTTATTGGCACTGGACTTGAAAATACACACCCAAAGCCCTAATCACTAATCTGATCAGTAAAGCCCCTATTTGGAGAACATCATGGGTGCATCGGAGCGGGGCTGCTTACCCTAATCCCCTGCACAGACAATTTAGGGTTTCGGGTTAAGGGTCGTGAACCCCTAAACCCTAAACCCTAAACCCTAAACCCTAAACCCTCACTGGTAGATTGTTCCCGAAGTCCGAAGGTCGTGACCACAAGTGACACCATCTGCACCGGAAAGTGACTTGGCTTGCATTGCCCGATACCCCCAAACAAGGCCTTAAAGCCGATAGCCCTAAACCGTGAGCCCCAATCCAAAGTGTTCGCATTGATACCACGGCCAAAGTCGCCAGTGTGTAAATATGCAGCCTGCTCACTTTCAAACCTCACCGATTCGTTGAAGGTCAGAGGCATGAAGGGAAGGGTTCTCGGCACCGCGGGATCGTAGGCTTTGCAACCGGCTGCGGGAACTGAGCATGTTGAATTGGTAGATTGCTGCTGTAGCCGCTGCTCCACATAAGCCAGAAGCAGAAGATCAATCATAGCCACCGAACACCTCCTAAACTTGAAATTCAACCTCTAAATAAACCCTAGACCCCCTAAATCTATCGGCAGCTAAGGGTTAAGACGGATGCTGACAAGGGCGTCTTCCCCTTGAAGGCGAGCCGTCAAGACACCTTCGGACGGTTCGTGAGTTTGTAGCCAGTTCTGTTGCCTCAAACTTATACGACGAGCTACTCGTGGTTCAGGATTTGGGGTTGGGGTTGGGGGTTGGGGCCTAGCGTTCAAGTTCAGCTCAGGGATTGCTTGAGGGGTTGGTACGCAGTGCAAGAGTTTAGGGCTTGGGGACTCACCTACGCTCGTCACAGGGCCTGACGGTGTAATGCCAGTTATCTTTGTGCAGATACTCTTTCTTTCATTAGTTTTATAAGCGATTGTATGCACCACGATGACAGTTGCCAGGGATGTCGCCATAGTACCGCAACATGTCTTCTCTGCTTGGGTCGGGTGTTGAGGTTCAGGCTTTGAGGCCCTCGGACATGGGGCTTCACGGCCACGTCAACGCAGAAGCACCCGAAACCGAAAGCCCCACAAACCTAAACCCCAAACTCACACAACAAAACACAACACACAGCAAACAAATTCAAGACCTTAAGCCCTAACCCTCAACTCCGACATGCCAAATCTGTCTTGGCAGCTTCTTTCGCCTGTAATGTAGAAGCTTGAGATATTACCAGTACTTATTCCTTAGGGTTACTTCCTATCCGTATGTTACAATGAAGCCCAGAGCCCTTTTCGAATCATTGATAAGCCCTTTACACCCTAAACCCTGAAACTGTCGGTCCGACCTCCTGGCAGATTCGGGAGCCCATGATCCTGGAAGCAAACAACTTCCTCAGGAAGAAGGTCTACTTTCAGGGCTTAGGGTGGAGGATGCTATGTTGTTCAGGGGTTCTTAGTTTGACAAAAGGGGTCTGGAGAAATGGAAATGGCACTCCCCTGAGAATATATATATATATATATATACATACACGTATTTTACATGCATATACATATGTGTATACATATACATATACATATACATATACATATACATATACATATACATATACACATACATATACATATACATATAAATATATATA